TTCTCAGAGCAGAGTGTCAGCAGGGATTTCATTTTTCCAGAATAATTTTAAATCCCAGCTGATATAAAAGCTGCTGCCTTTTTATGAGCAGAGTTTTATGACTTAGCCTCTGACAGATGCTGGTCTGGCTGTTGAACCACAGACGTATTACTGCGGCTTCCATTTCCACAGGATAAAAACCAGCCTGAGATCCTGGATTATTATTATTATTATTAGTTACTGCAACTGCTGCTGTTCCTTCAGTTGTCAATACGACAGTTACTTGAAGAAAAAAAAGGGGGGGGGGGGGGGGGTTAAATGTTGAGTCGCCTCCTAATGGTTCCTGCAGTGACAAAAGGCACAGCTGCTGGTAAGTCCCGGTATAGTAATTGACATTCTTCTCACTGTGGTGTAAATGCACAGTTCCTGGTACTATTTTATGGTGTTCTGAAAGTAAAAACACAGCAACCCCCCCCCCACACACACACACACACACATGCATACACACCTGTACAGACAGGTGAGTTCTGGTTAAGTGAGGATGTGGACATGTAGGCCAGTGGAAACATCTTCATGTGGTTTTGGTTCCACATCTTCTGTCCTTCTGCAGAGGCGTTCNTCCTCACGGCTCAGATCAGCGCTCACGCTAACTGCTGCTCCTGCTTCTGAAGCCCATAACGCTCAGCAAATGTGTGTCTAATATCAGCCACAGCAGGAGGAGTGTTTACAGAGTCAGTGTGACGGCAGAGAGGCGAAGCATCAGCACCAAAACCTGAGGCTGCTGCTCCACAGGCGTCGGTGTCTGCTGTAATCCTGGCCCAGGAGGGGAGCAGGTCGTTAACATCATAAACTGATCCCAGCGCAGCGTTACTGACTATACATTATATTTACAGCAGACACGGACGACTGGAGATGAGCACCAGGAGCAGCAGATGGTCTGGGCTGGTTTGTGCGGCCAGCTCTGAGTGGAGGAAGTCTCTAATACTCGTACATAAAAGATAACTGCGTGTGTTTCAAGTGTGTCCAAACAGTAGTTGAATAAAAACGAAGAAATTAACCAAATGCCAACATCCCATAAATAATGTAATGGAAAAGAGATGGAGATGGAGAGAAAGATGGCTAAAAGCTAGTTCTAACTTAAATTATCACTCCAAAGTCACTTATACGTATAGAAAAATCTAAATTTGTTTTAAATTTGTTTTTTAGGAGATATTTTTGTATGTCACTTGATACATTTTGGATATGCATTTTTGGTAACTTTTTGCTCACAACAATACCCATTTTAGAAACAAATTTACATTGTGAAAATGTAGAACACTTTCTTGAAAGTTGTTACTATAAAATATATATTTTTTATTTATATATTTTTATATTTTTTTTTAGCAAAAACAATTTTTTGTCCTATGATGATTTTTAAAAACTTAAATGTGCTACTGATGAACGGTGTGTGTGTGTGTGTGTGTGTGTGTGTGTGTGTATGGTGTGCGTTTCTGTGCGTTTCATGCGGGTACAGTGACTGATTACTACAGTTTCTGCAGTAAACAGTGTCTCTGGTCCAGATGGAGGCTGAGGAGCTGAGATCATTCAGCTGTGGACGTTTCTCTTTTCACTCAGACTGGCACAAACAGATGGAAGCTGCTGAAAGAACAAGACTTCTTTCTCCTTCTCCTTCTCCTTCTTCTCCTTCTTCAGTGGAGAACTCTCTACAGACCTCCACTGAAGAAGAGGCTTGGGGATCTCCAGTGGAGGATTTTACACGGTGTCATTGCATCCCCCATTTTTATCTGTGGAGTTGTTTTTTTTTAAAAAACAGAAGAAACAAAATGTCACCTCCTGAACTTTTTAATGGGAGAAGCAACAATGCCGATCTACTGTACCTGACACACAGGGACAGACTACAGGGTGTGAAGGCCAGACTGAGGCTGGGGTTTTGTTTCCACAGGATCACAAACAACATTGACATATTTGAACAGCAGTGGGCGCTCATGAGGAGCTGTTGTTCCAGGTAGCTGACAATGAACTACATTTTTGCACAGTTCCTACGTTTCTTCTTCGATTGTAACTGTGTGTTTGACAGTTTCACACCAAGTGTAAACAAAATGGTATTTTAAAAATCAACTCCTCTACTGTGCCAGGTGATGAACTCAAATTTGAACAGCTCCTAAATTAATTTGTTGATTGTCTCTTGATTATGTATTTGTAGGCTTTACAGTTTTTACACCTACTGTTAAGTGTTTTTTTTTTTAATCTAAATCGTCCCCTTCTTATTCTCATTCTGCGTGCAGACGTCTCTGTGCTTCAGTGTCAGTACAAACTCAGTGAAAAAGTGCCAGAATGTTCTAAGCTGTTTTGAGCTGTTTTGACACCATGATACTGACAGGACTTGAAGTGTCACAAACATGAAGGTTTGAAATCAAACACAGGACTGCGTTTGTGTATCTGCAGACACGAAGGTCACATGACATGTGCGTGTGCTTCGACCTTCAGTCTCCATCATGTACTCTCTCCGTACGTCCTTTATGAAGACTTTATGCCAGTCTTTGTGTGTCGTCTCTCACTCAGACCTTGAATCTTCAGCTTCATCACTGCTGAATAGGAGACGTAGGTGTTTCTCCATCAGCGAGTCGGAGTCAGAGTCCCACGCTGATGTGTGGGCAGATCATTAATTCACTCTTTTCTTCTTTCTCCTTCAGTCTGTCGACTCCATGTTCTCTCTTCCTGTGACAGGTGACATGGACCTGCAGGCCTGAGTCAGCACTGATGGACTCAAGGGTTTCAAAGTTTCAAAGTTTGCAGGTTGGGTCACGTGGTCAAACTGTGGTCAGTGCTCTTGCCATACAACAAAAGTTTGTTAGTAGCCACCCACACACACACACACACTCAAACACACACACACACTGGGAAGGGTTCTCTCTATTATGTCCATCGTGTCCAGAGCCTCTCGTCTGTCCATCATGTCTCCTGAGTTGACTGTGGACTCGTCCTGACAGTGTGTTTAACCAGACTGTTGAAGAGAAACATGACTTTTGATTGAGAACCATCAGCAGTGATATGTAACCAACGCTGAGTTCAGCTCCTTCGTCTTCCCACACTCTGCCAGGTTTGTGTTTGACAAAGATCTGATTCTCTGTGCTTTTACAAGAGAGACTTTAATAAAATCAGCTGAAGATGATATAAAATGTTCTGGAACATTTATTAAACTTATTCCTGCTCTGGTACAGACTAGTTCAGAGGATATGTTTTCTTTCTTTAGAAGCTGAAGCCTTGGTTGTGGACCAAGTTCTCCTGTATGTGAACCACAGGGTTATCTCAGAGCTGCATGTGCTCATGTGTTAGAGGTGACAGATCAGAAGCAGGTTTTTGTAGAGCCTAAATTTTTGGATCAATACTCAGTCCTCTCCCGGCTGCTGCAGTGATTCATGGATGTTGGCAGGGAGAAGATAAGGTGAGGGTGATCTTGAACAAGTGGAGATGTGCTGTGATTTGATTTTCAGATTCTTCTTCTTTCTTTCCCACCAACCCTCCAGTCACTTCTCACCCTGCAGTCAGGTCGACAAAGCTCAACAGATCCTGGAAGTTGGCCGTGCTCCAGATCTAATCCTGAGCTTCACATTTAGCTAAAACCACTGCAATTGTAACTATTTAACTTAGAAATACAGTTCTTTACACGATACACTCGAAGCGTGTTTTAGATCAGGTCGCTAATCTGTTAAATTAGACACTGATTATTTAAACCTAAATCTGTTCTCTAGGGTAAAGGTGAACAATTATAGAACAGTATGAGAACAGATAGAGTTATTATAGAAAAATGAAAGAAAACAAATCTGTAACTGTTCTCTCATCTATATATACAAATGGATGTGGTCTATATCACCGAGCTAACAGCGCACGACAGGCTACAAAGGACAGACCTAGAATTTTTTTTTAAATGTTCCCAATAATTTTTGGACTTAGAATTTTTTTTTTAAATGTTCCCAATAATTTTTTTTCTGCTTAAAAACTTCAATCATCCAATCACTGTGCAGAAGACAAGCTGTCATACAGTATATATCCAATCAGTGCAAGGCCCTGTGGTAAGAAAAGACATCCAGTGCTGCTCAGCTACAGTGCATTAAAGCTGAGCTTCAACAGAGTTGAATACACTCCACTGCTACAGGATTGAATAAGGAAAACCTCCAGCTGATTCTGAATGAACTGGTCCTAGAGTTGAGATCAGGTTTAGTCAATGAAATGTTAATATACTGCAAATGTTTAATGATTGGCAGCAGTGATCAGAAGTGTCCAGAATGTGGTGCAAAGACAGAAAGTTTCTTGGCTGACTTGTAAAGACTTCTCCTCCTGCTGCTGCTGTTTCCTGCGCTCAAGTCTGTTTCACTCAGGAAGTGATGAATTGAAGGTTGGGAATGGAACCCTCAGTGTGCAGGAGAACAGACTGTCCTGACAATACCAGTGTCAGCCCATATGCATCATTTTTACTTTTACTTTTCTTCGTTCTCTGTGGCTCACAGTCTGAGCTGCAGCTGCTGAAGTAAATGAAACCGTCAGTCACTGATCTGCTGGATTAAACTCCTGGTCACCCTGACCTTCATCACCTGACCTGCAGAACCTTCTGTCCTTGAGCAGACTCCAGAGTCAGGCTCCTTTTTCCATAAGGGCAGGTTTTTACACTCTGGATAATCTATTCTATTCTGGTTAAGTACACAATAACCAACAAAATAATGATATCCCTCTAAGTAAGGGTTCGTGTTCAAGGTAAGTTGCAAAAATATATAACAGCAAGTCAGTCTGCATGTCCGATGCATCTGTCCCCCCCCATGTGACTCTGTGACTGTCTGTACAGGTTGAATCCCACCCTCACCTGACGGCTGCTGGGATTGACTCCAGCGCCCCCTGGAGTAAAGGGTAAAACTACAGATGAATGTGGCCCACCAAACCCTGCCCGATCAAACTGTGAGTATCACAGAGAAAATATCATATTATAAAATATAAAATGATATTTTATAAAATAACTATTTAAGAACCTGAAAAAAAACACCTGAGACTTAATAAGTCTCCCCACCATTAAAGACTTGATTTACATCCCATTAGAACAAATGGGATTTTTATTTTATTTTATTTGAGTGTCCTGCCTCTAAGTTGTCTGTCCAGAAGAATTCTCCTCTGACAAATATGTACGGTGACCCTGATGTAGAGAATGATCCAGTGAGGAGCTGAGTCCTAAAATGATCAGTTTGATCATGGATTGGATTCATCAGTGTTTGATCAGTGGGATTGGTGGACGGGTTGGATCAGGTGACTTCCTCACTCTCTAACAGCTCAGTTCCAACTTTCAAATGAAACCAGTTTATTGTTGATGATGAAAACAGGTCCTAATCCGACCAGGTTTAATGTCGGGTCCGTATGTGGACAGTGAACAACAATCCTGGACTGGACTGAAGACACCCTGCTGCTGATGTAAAGACAGGTAATAAAGGAGCAGTTTCTCCCCTCTGCAGGAGGAGGAGAGAGATAAGCAGGAGATGAGTGTGAAGAAGGAGGAGAAGTCCTGTGGTTTTACCGGCACCGGTCCGAGTCCCCCATTCCTCCCCACCGCTGACTCTCTGCACCACATTCACATTCACTCCGTTTTTATTTATTTATTTACAAGCTCCGGAATCGATTATCGATTTAACTTTGTCCTGTTTAACTTGTGCCCTGACTGGCTAGTTTAAACCAGCGGGATCGAACCCTAAATGAAACTGAACCGCACACGTAGCCTTGGAGCTGGACCGGAGCGCAGTCCAAGGAGCCACGAGTCGGAGTGAGTGCGCACGGCAGCGCGTCCCCGTCATTTCTCCGCAGTTTGCAGACAGCGCGCAGGTGGAGGAGCAGAGGAGGAGCAGAGGAGGAGCAAGGAGGAACGGCCGCCAATGTTCTGAACACACAGGCTTCCCCCCCCGACGGACCGGTTGGTTCTATTTCCATCCTCCTGGATCGGGGTTCTCGTGACTTCGCTGTGGTTCCTGGATCTCAGTAGCGATTTTGAAAGAAAAGTTAGTTTTTTAAAAAAATGCAGCAGCGTTTCCCTCCTGTTCCTCCTGCTTCCGTCTCCTCCTGCAGCTCGGTGCTGGATCCTCCTCTGTGCCTCCGTGTCCACGCTTCTCCTGACAAATAGATGCCAGTTGATCCCTCCTGAGACTCGGTTCCGTCAGACCAGAGAGTGGGTTTCTGGATCACACACACACACACACGCGCGGTGACATCGTTCCAGAGGGATTTCCGTCTGTTCCAGTGAAGATGGAATTCCTGGGACTGTACTTCCTGCAGCTGGTTCTCGTCGGTGAGTGCAACTTTATTCCTCATCAGTTTTCACCAGGATCAAACGCCTTGATGTGTTGATGTGTTGGTTGTAGTGGCTGTGACGGTGTGAGCTCAGTGGTTCTGGCTGTTTGTCTGAACTTGACGCTGATCCTCACACTGACTGTCACTGTGGAAATGGGAATGTCGGGAATATTTCGTTTTATTTTATTAGTGTGTTGTTGGACTCCAGCAGCCGTCACTCACTGGACGATACATGTCGTTGTCGTTATGCCTTTGATTTTGGGTGCGCGCGCACAGAGATGGTCGTGGTAAAATTATTGAGTGTTTTTCTAATTCAGAACCAGTTCTTGTTTGTCGCAGGTGTGTGTGTGTGTGTGAGAGAGAGACTGTGACTCTCTCTGTGTGTGTGTTGAATCTTAGTGTGAGTAATTGTGCACCTGCCTCTGCAGGTGAAACGTGTCGCGTGTACACAGTTTGAAGGGTTTTGAGTGTGTGTGTGTGTGCGTGTGTATATGTGTGTATGTGTGTGCTCGGTCATTAGCTGTAACTGAGACACCTCATGTATCTCTGCATATTCCATTCTGGTTGCACCTTTTCATTAATTCCGACATGTTAGTCGGCTGGTAATTCAACAATTACCACCAAAGGCCCACCTCGACTAATGACTGATTCATGTTTGATGTGAACTCACCTAAACCAGATGTAACCAGTTGTTAATGGACTTCTCACGTTGACACCAGAACTTCACCAGTACCACAGGAATAACCAACAGTACTGTCAGTGACCTGCAGAAGATGTTAGGACCCTGAGTGTGGATTAAAGAATGGGCTTGTGATCATAGGGTTGCTGGTTCCAGTCCCTGCCATGCTGGTGCCTTAAACAAGCACCACAAACTACCCTGCACCACAGCAGCAGTAAAGTGCAGCAGCTGATGTGCTTATGTCTGTTCCAGCTTTAGTGTGATGTCACAGTCGAACCTTAGTCCCAATAGACCTGGTCTACACCGTTGGGCCTCGGTCCAAGTGAAGAGGTTCATACAAGAAGTAAATACACACACACGCAGAGGTTAGATACCAAATTGATTTATATTTGTTTCTGACCATAGCAGCAGCAGCAGCAGCTAACGTCTCTTCACAGTGAAGGTCTTCCTGTCCTCAGGGGAAGAAGAACTCCTCAGACCAAAACGCTTATGATGATAACAATGAATCTCAGGAACATCAGCTGCCTTTGACTTACTGACCCATGACTACTTCCACTGATAAAAAGACTTCTGCGTCTTTACACCAGAAATATCCAACTGACGAGGATTAACTTGACATTTAAAGTCCAAACCACAGTGGTGTTCTGATCTCCAGGCTGTGTTTAAGGCCTGCGTTGTCTGTGCTGGGGAAGTGATTGTTCTTTGTGCTGATCTTAATGATGATGGGCAGATTTGTGGATCACCCGGAGTGTCTGTGAGTCTACTGGATTTGAACGCCCACCCCCCACTCCCCCGCTGTTCTTCTGATCTTCTTCTTTAAATGTCAGACCTTCAAATAATACCATTTGCCACATGATATTACAATATTGATTTTATTTATTGACTTTGGTTTAAAGTCAGTAGTTAGCAACTGTGTGTGTTTACATGAAGATTAAATTCCTTCCTGGGAGCAGAGCTGGTTGACGTCACCACACGTCTCTGCTGTTAGAGGTCTTTGTGTGGACCTAAACCTCGGAGGATGACAGCTCAGCTCTGCGTCTCAAACTCCATTTCTCTTCTGGTGTCAGCTCTGATTCTAACCACTCATGGCAGATTCAACGTGTTGGAAGCGTGACGTTCCGAGTCCTTCGTTCCCTGAGAGAACGCCCTGACTTAAATCCAGCAAGGCGTTTGTGAGGAAAGTCATTCTGATATAAATCCTCTGTGTTCTTTGCCACTGTTCATATCAAATAGAGGGGAGAACAACTCTGAGCTGTCAGTCATGAGATGATACTGGCTCGGTAGGAGCAGCAGGAAAGGAGGAGATGGTGGAGGGGTTGGAGGTGGAGGTGGAGGTGTTCTGGGTCGTGGGGGAGTGCTAGTCTTTTCTCCTCTCTGCAGAGAGTCTCACCTTGTCAGAGACGTGTCAGAACCACAGTGAGTCTGTCACCCACAGACGGCTGATCCCGTCCATCAGCCTCCCAGGGAGCGGGAGCAGGAGCAGATCAGAAGAGGAGCAGCAGTTGTAGCCTGCAGGTCAGAGAGAGAGGAGACGCGGCGGGAGGTTTGAATCTGCAGGAGGAGGCGATGAAACTGCTCTGAAAGTTGAGTCTGAGCCGTAGAGAGATGATGGCCCGAGGACACGCGCGCGTGCAGCTGACGTCCTTCTACGTTTCGCTTTAAATTTTCAGCCTCTGAAACTTCAGAGGTTTATTTTTGGTGAATAAATCACTGCTGTTTTAGTTTGAGTTTGAAAACATCAGGGTTTGTTTTTCTCACACAAAGAGAAGGCAGTGACGTGATCTCCACCCGTCTGTCAGTGTCCGTTCTGGCGTGAGCAGCAGCGCAGACCCACTGGAAAACCTCCACTGTCGGCCTTTTTATTTTCACCACTTCTTTGTACAATTTATAATTACTTTCAACAACTGCAGAAAATCAACAAATTGAAATTGAAACGCAGCCGAGATGAAGATGCCAAGCTCTTCTCCGGGAGTGAGCAGAGATGAGCAGATTAGAGAAACGGCAGAGGATGAACAGCTTGGAGCTAAAGTCAGATGCTCGGTTGAGATGTTTGGACATGGAGCTAAGGAGGGAGGACTGAGACGGGAAGACGAGCTGCTGTGGCCTGCCCTGAATGGAGAAGCTGAAAAAAGACACAGACGCAAATACTGACTGAGGAATCTGTTGCTGCTCTGTGATGATTATCACATCACCCGTCTGTGTGAAGAAGAGCTGAGGGTTCAGATTGTTAATATTGGAAGAATGTCTGTGTTTTTGAGGAAAACGATGGACATTAAGATGGATGGATGGGTGGATGGAGGGATGGATGGATGGATGGAGGGATGGATGGATTGATGGATGGATGGATGGATGGATGGATTGATGGATGGATGGATGTATAGTCTTCTTCATTCTAAGGTGGTAAATGTAATGCCACAGCAGCCTGCTGCAGTTTGAAGTTTAACGGCCAAAACAGCAGAGACTCTATAGGTGTCAATAAAATGCAAAATAGTAAAACTTGTGTTGGAATGAAAGCAAAAATACAAATTTAGTTTGTAGTCCATATTTCACATTGACAGCATAAGGAGGAACCTTATTGACAGTGTGAATGGCAGAGAGTCATTATGGTCTGTCAGTCAGAGCAGCTGTTGGTTCCTAATGATTTGCTCTATCGCCGTTTGCTGCAGTGAAGCAGTTGAACTGTTTTTATAGTCGATGTAAGAGAAGAATCTGTAAAAAAAAACGGAGGCCACTGGATTCTTAACGCTGTTGTCTACGAACATCTGATTGGCTCCTCCTCCTGCAGCTTCGTCTGTCCAGTTCGTAGATCTGGGTCTTTTAAGGTGGGGGTGAAGAGGTGAACGGTGAATGAAAGACTGACTCAACTTCAGTGTCTTCGGAAGTGTTTTCCTAAGTGGAGCGTTAAACACGGGTAAAGATCAAAGTACTTCTGTGTTCCAGTTTTATGAGTTTGCCCTTTTTCACATCATCCTCCGACACCTGAACGTCTCTTTTCCCTCAGACCTGAGCTTTATTTGAAAGTGTAGAGCAGATATTGATGGACGGGTTCAGAGAAAACCCACTGTTCTTCTGCTCTGAGATGATCCTCTGACGTGTTCTCCACCGTCGAGCACTTTGGAAACCCTGCTCTGACACCTTCAATGATGAGGATGATCCTGATCCTCAGGCTGATATTGATCCTTTTTTTTTTTTTAGCCGATGGACTCTTGGTCCTGATGAGACTGATCCTGGATAAATACTGAAGGAACGGGAAGTGAAGCATTAAGCAGACCCTGTGGTTATGTTCTTAAAGAGCTGTGGTGTCGATACCATCAGATCTTCAATTAGAGAGAAGTCAAGCTGCACAAACACGCCGGCACATTTAAATGGTTAGAGCTGCTGTCAGAAGGCCTTCACGGTACCAGAGGCCAGGAGTCTTATTTAGTCCTTCATAGTTGTTATTAAATGGTAAGAGAAAAATGAGAGGAAGAAAAATATCATATGCAGTATGTATTATAGACTCATTAAGTCAATCAAAGACAAATTAGGTAAGGTGTGCAAACGCTGACAACTGATAATTCTAGTGTTGACAGAGAGATAGACGGATGGATAGATAACCTATATATGTACAATTATATTTTCTTTTTAAATTGAGTGGGTTCCTATATATGTACAGTTATATTTTCTTTTTAAATTGAGTGGGTGTGGCTTATATTCAGGCTCAATAGTCCAGAAATGACGTTAGCCGCATCATTGTTTAAGCTACAGGGTTCAAAGCGTGTGGAAAAAAGTAGCGGCTTATAGTCCTTAACTTACGGTACATAGATGGATGGCATAAAAAACTAAGGAGCAGAAAAAGCATTTACTAGTTGCTATGGTAGACTATAGTTTTCTGGAATCTAAAGGGTTAGCGTTGACTACAGTTTGACATAGTGACTAATAGCTTTTGGTTAACCAAAATACTAATAACTCCTATGAAGTCAATCCTAAAGGTTTGTGCTGCCTTTAAAGACCTAGGGTAGTTCCCCAAGTTGATGCCTGCAGAGCAGTAATTGTCATCTTCTTAACCAAATGTCTCGTCAGTTATTAAAAAAAAAAAAACTTCATCAGGAAAATCAGTAATTTTAGCTCTCAGACACAGAGCAGTTGTTGATTCACCACAGGGGGCAGCAGTGGGAGAGTAAGTGGTTCATAGACTTCATTCTTATTTCAATTCATCAGACTTCATTTGTTTGTTTGGTGAATGAAGATCTTAGACACACAGATAGCATCAACACAAAGACAAAGAATACATTATAACAGACACAAAGACAAAGAATACATTATAACAGACACAATCA